GGACTGTCACTTGGTTTTCCGGGAGTAGACTTGAACAGATCGTTTGGAGGTTTTCCCCTTGCTCAGTGAGACTCAGTAAATCCTTCCAGGGGTAGAAGGTCCAGGCATAGTCAGTAACACAGGAAGTCTTCCTGCCGAAGAACAAAGTCAAAAAAGAAGTTCAGACTCAGAGAAAGAATGCTAAACTAGACTCTGCTAATCTCAGTTTGGCTAGAGTACCCAACACTGGCAAACACTCTGGCGTCGAGGTGGTGACAGCCCACTGCTTAAGTACTCCTCTGGTAATGACCCAATGAGCCGCAGGTGTGCAGGGAGGCCCAACGAGGACAGAGCACCGCCTGGTGGTGGAGAGAGGAAAACACAAAAAAACTAAGCAACTAAAACTAAGCAAATCACAGCTGTCCAGTTAGTTCTTCTAATTTACATCACTTCCCTCACTAAGCCAATAGCTAATCTTAGATGCAGTAACCCCCTTTTAACCTGAGGAGGGTGCCAGACAGGTCGTATTAGACACTACAGCAGGATTGCAACAAATCTTTAGTAAACTGTCAGAATAATGCCAGGGACATGGAGACAACACTATGAGAAATCTATTTATACAGTTTATAAACAGAGACTAAAATTTAAGACATTAAATCTGCAATGTAATCCCAGCATATACACTGGAAAATACATGCAGCTCTTTTATAATGGTTTTCTGTATTTCTTTACGAACCCTCAGATGGTTTTTGAAGTGGGCTTCAATAGCCCAAGAGGTGGACACGTTGCCGTTGATGACATTTCCTTCTCTCCAGAGTTTTGCAACAGAGACACAGGTGAGCTTTGGACTTCTATCCTCATAACTAAAGTGTCAGAGTTTTTATTTCTACCCTAATGAGCCACGCAGCAGGTTTATTAAAATCTACAAAAGCAGAAAGTGCCACAGGAATCATTTCTCAAAGAGTGCTAATCTATGGCCTTACTTCGACAGAGCCAACCTTCGACCCCTCCATCGCCAACTGTGATTTTGAATCTGGTCTCTGCCTCTACACCCAGGACCGGGCATTCGGCTCGTCATGGCGGAGAGTGTCGGTGAAGCCTAACATATTCAGGAATGGAGACCACACCACAGGAGCAGGTGGGAGAAACAAAGAACCAACAGCCTTTTAATACCTAATTAAACAGGTTAGCTTAGGTAGGCTTCCACTATAAAACACTCCCTGGTGTTTAGTGTGTTTATATTGGGTAGAGACTACCCCATGAGCCTATTTCTGATTTAGATCTAATCTAAATTTTAGAATTGATGGGATGTCTGAGAGTTTCCCCGCTTTCAGACTCACAATGGGAACGATTTTCGGCCCTGGCATTTTTCCATCTACACCGGCCCACTTATGGACCCATTTTACCCATAGACGGCCATCCTAAACTGGCAGATTGGGAAAAATCCCAACCTGGCAACAAGGCACCAAAAACGGGAAACGTTAACCTTTAGATGCAAAGCCCCATCATGCACCACAAAAATTTGCCAAATATAAGAGGAATATCGTATTTGGTTTAAAAAAAAAGCATTTAAGTTTTTTTTAATAATTGAGTTTGTTGCAAGGATTTTA